TGGTAAGTTACTAAATGCTGTAAAGAGTTTTTATGAGGATAGTGAGGCTCAGGTTAGGGTGTGTAGAAGAGAGGGAAAATACTTCCCGGTAAAAGTAGGTCTTAGACAGGGATGTGTAATGTCACCATGGTTGTTTAATATATTTATAGATGGGGTTGTAAAAGAAGTAAATGCTAGGGTGTTCGGGAGAGTGGTGGGGTTAAATTATGGGGAATCAAATTCAAAATGGGAATTGACACAGTTACCTTTTGCTGATGATACCGTGCTTATGGGAGATTCTAAAGAAAAATTGCAAAGGTTAGTGGATGAGTTTGAGAATGTGTGTAAAGGTAGAAAGTTGAAAGTGAACATAGAAAAGAGTAAGGTGATGAGGGTATCAAATGATTTAGATAAAGAAAAATTGGATATCAAATTGGGGAGGAGGAGTATGGAAGAAGTGAATGTTTTCAGATACATTGGACCCCCGCATACCATTGGCATCACATAACGTTTAATCTGCATACCGCTCGCTTTTATCGCAAAAATTTTGCCTCGCATACCGCTCAAAAACCCGCTCACCGCTGTTCGTCCGAGACGCGTCCAATGTGCGCCCTTAGCCAGCCTCACATGTGCCGCCGGTGGCATTGTTTACCAGCCAGCCTCCGCGGTAACATCCAAGCATACAATCGGAACATTTCGTATTATTACAGTGTTTTTGGTGATTTTGTCTGCAAAATAAGTGACCATGGGCCCCAAGAAAGCTTCTAGTGCCAACCCTACAGCAATAAGGGTGAGAATTACTATAGAGATGAAGAAAAAGATCATTGATAAGTATGAAAGTGGAGTGCGTGTCTCCGAGCTGGCCAGGTTGTATAATAAACCCCAATCAACCATCGCTACTATTGGTGGTACAGCTGCTGCTGCTGCTGTACCACCGTCAGCTGCTGCTGCTGCTGCACTGCCAGCTGCTGCTGCTGCTGTAGCACCGTCAGCTGCTGCTGCTGCTGTACCACCGTCAGCTGCTGCTGCTGCTGTAGTACCGTCTGCTGCTGCTGTATCATTGTCTGCTGCTGCTGTAGCACTGTCAGCTGCTGCTGCTGTTGTACCACCGTCAGCTGCTGCTGCTGCTGTAGTACCGTCTGCTGCTGCTGTAGTACCATTGCTGCTGCTGTAGCATCGTCTGCTGCTGCTGTAGCACTGTCAGCTGCTGCTGCTGTTGTACCACCATCAGCTGCTGCTGCTGCTGCTGTAGTACCGTCTGCTGCTGCTGTAGTACTGTCTGCTGCTGCTGTAGCATCGTCTGCTGCTGCTGTAGCACTGTCAGCTGCTGCTGCTGTTGTACCACCGTCAGCTGCTGCTGCTGCTGCTGTAGCACCGTTGTTGGTGTGGCTTATTGAGAATACCAAGAAACAATTAACCCCAGAGGATTTGCCACCCAGGATAACCCAAAAAAGTCAGTGTCATCGAAGACTGTCTAACTTATTTCCATTGGGGTCCTTAATCTTGTCTCCCAGGATGCAACCCACACCAGTTGACTAACACCCAGGTGAACAGGGAAAAAATGCCTGGAACTAGTGCTCATATTGGTGAATTTAAAGCCAGCAAAGGTTGGTTTGAGAGATTTAAGAATCGTAGTGGCATACACAGTGTGATAAGGCCTGTTCTGGAAGAAAATGCCAAACAGGACCTACAGTACTCAGGAGGAAAAGGCACTCCCAGGACACAGTGTCTCATCAGTCATTGCTGCATCTTCAATAAAGGTAAGTGTCATTTATTCTTCATTTAGTAGAGTAGTACATGCACAATATATATTGTGCATGTATCCTTCTCTTTGTGTGTAGGAAAATGTATATTTCATGTGGTAAAAATTTTTTTTTCATACTTTTGGGTGTCTTGCACGGATTAATTTGATTTCCATTATTTCTTATGGGGAAAATTCATTCGCATACCAATCATTTCACATAACAATGAGCCCTCTTGCACGGATTAAAATCGCTATGCGGGGGTCCACTGTACTTGGGAGTTGACGTGTTGGCGGATGGATTTATGAAGGATGAGGTTAATCATAGAATTGATGAGGGAAAAAAGGTGAGTGGTGCGTTGAGGTATATGTGGAGTCAATAAACGTTATCTATTGAGGCAAAGAAGGGAATGTATGAAAGTATAGTAGTACCAACACTCTTATATGGGTGTGAAGCTTGGGTGGTAAATGCAGCAGCGAGGAGATGGTTGGAGGCAGTGGAGATGTCCTGTCTAAGGGCAATATGTGGTGTAAATATTATGCAGAAAATTCGGAGTGTGGAAATTAGGAGAAGGTGTGGAGTTAATAAAAGCATTAGTCAGAGGGCAGAAGAGGGGTTGTTGAGATGGTTTGGTCATTTAGAGAGAATGGATCAAAGTAGAATGACATGGAAAGCATATAAATCTATAGGGGAAGGAAGGAGGGTAGGGGTCGTCCTCGAAAGGGTTGGAAAGACGGGGTAAAGGAGGTTTTGGGGGCGAGGGGCTTGGACTTCCAGCAAGCGTGCGTGAGCGTGTTAGATAGGAGTGAATGGAGACGAATGATACTTGGGACCTGACGATCTGTTGGAGTGTGAGCAGGGTAATATTTAGTGAAGGGATTCAGGGAAACCGGTTATTTTCATATAGTCGGACTTGAGTCTTGGAAATGGGAAGTACAATGCCTGCACTTTAAAGGAGGGGTTTGGGATATTGGCAGTTTGGAGGGATATGTTGTGTATCTTTATACGTATATGCTTCTAAACTGTTGTATTCTGAGCACCTCTGCAAAAACAGTGATAATGTGTGAGTGTGGTGAAAGTGTTGAATGATGATGAAGGTATTTTCTTTTTGGGGATTTTCTTTCTTTTTTGGGTCACCCTGCCTCGGTGGGAGACGGCCGACTTGTTGAAAAAAAAAAAAAATTGTTTTTATGAAGTGTCTTAGTTCTGCATCAGCATTACAGTCTAGCATTTTGTAGACACAGTAAACAATAATGAGGAGGTATGGCATTCAGTATATCATTGTTATAAAGGAGAAAGAGAAGAGATCCTAGGATGTTACTATTTTGGACACCAGATTTAATTGGTTGGATAGTTGAAGAAATACTGTTAATTACATCATGCTGTTGGTTGTTAGCTAAGTAGGATTGGAAGTACTGTAGCTGTACATGTGCTCTGAGTCTGTAGTACTAATTAGGTTTGCAAAGAATATTGTGGTCGACAATATCAAAAGCCTTATGCAAATCAATAAAAAGTTCAGTAACAAAACAAAAACAAAAATGTATTTCTTTGCAAAAGTTGCAATATATTGCAACAGTTTCCATTTCATAATTTGATTGGTACAAAGACAGTCACCATCATGCTGAGGCATTTTGGGCAGGCTTAACCTAATACTTAGACTACTTCAGTCTAGACAACTTCAAATAGGATACTCACTTCTTGCAATTGCTGCATTACTGCATTAACTGTATCTAAATTTTTTATAATCTCGTCATTGCATTCTTTGGGTCTGAATCTAAATTGGCAAGGATTAAGCATATTATGTTTGGTCAAGAACAAGCAAAGGTGTTTGCAGATGACTTTCTCAAATGTTTTTGATAGTATTGGTAGGTTAGATATTGATCTTCAGGTGTTAACATTGGTTTGATCATCACTGTTACAGATTGGTGTTATAGACTGTATTCTTATGTCACACTTTTCTTTCTCTATGGTATTTATAGGCATTCTCTGTAACAGACACAGAATTTCATCATGTATTTATTTTGTATGTAATTATGTTATATACATACATATAATGGGCAGCTGAGATCCCGTATATTTACTTGGATATTAATAATCAGCCTCTGAGTTACATTTTTTGGTTGAAAAACTAGTTTTAAGGTACAGTATTTCAAATGGTTAACTCTTTTTATACAGTCGAGTATCAGTAACCCAGATTGTTTGGGGCCAAGCCTTGTCTACACTACTGATCACTCCAGACAACTGCTCATCACCAATATATAATGTATATAGCAGCATCACAGCACATTGTAAGTTTACAGACTTAAACAAATATATAACATAAGCAAAACAGTATTAAAGTTCCGTTCATTTAATTTACATTACAAGTAGCCTTGTTTGTTTCTGCTTTCAAAATATAACATTCTAAGAATAGACACTGTTTAGTTCAGATATAGTCAAACTCAAATACAGTATTAATATTTATTTCTAAAAATAATCACAGACATAGGTATGGGATATTGTAAGTATAAAGCATTTTGAGCACAACTTAATTGAACACTCAGTTACATTGTATATTTAATAAATTCAAGGTACTATATAAGACAAATCAACTTCTTCAGTATATGAACAAAATGAAAATTTTAAATTCAGAACAAAACAATATTTGCAGAGGTGTTGCAAATGACATGATGGGGGAAGCAAAAGTGGAAGCAGGTCACCACTACTGTTTCATTATTATACTAGTATATTACTAATGCTAGTTTTCAACAAATATTCAGAACAGATAATTGGATTACCGATGCTCGATTCAAAATGTAGTGGGTTTATAGTATGTAATTTCGTAAAGTACTGTACAGTGTTAATGAGAGAGGTACAGTATATCAGTTTTGATTATTTAGTCACAATATAGTATGGCAATTCACATACCTTGTTGTGATTACATGTACTTTTTCTAAGTTTACTTCTCATACATAATCTTACTTGATTTTTATGATTGATAAAAATGCTGTAGTAAAGTATTGTACCTTAATGCAATACTTTGATAGTCTTCGTGAAGTTTTCGAGTACAGAGCATTTCAGTGTCATGCAGAGGCTCCTTCCCTCAAGGTCTGTGATAGTGGCACAGAAAGTTATATGTAATTGGGTGCAAGATTGCAATTAAACCTTGAAAAATTATGTATTACTGGCATTGCTGAAATATTATATAATACCTGGAGTAAAAGCTGTCGATAAAATCGTGGGCAGTGCTTGGCAGGCGACCGTCAGTCAGCCTGGCTAAGCTTCCCTGTTCTCTCGCAGCCGCCACGGGGTGCAGGGAAAGAGGAGGGTGGAAAGACCTTGGGCACCACTACCCCGCAGCCGCAGGTAAACTAGGCTCTTCGCACAGCCAAGGGGCAAGATGGGACACTCATAGTGGCTGCATGCACACAAGTTCAAAGTTTTGTAATTTGTAAAATTACGGCCATGGCTAGTATTGAATGTGGCAACCTTGCCACATTTTTTGAGAGCTATTATACAAAATTTAGTATTACACAAAATATTCCAAGGACTGAAGTCAGATTTTAAGTGTTAGTCTACAGCACATATTAAAACAAGCCAGAAAAATGTCAAGATACACTTGCCAGGTTGTAGTGAAGATTATCATTGTTAATGAATGACAGTAATATTGCAAAAAACAGACCTGAAATATTCTGGAATTTGGTATGATTCATCAAGAAGCATTGGTTTTTATTTTTTCACAAATACTCGCTGAAAATACTTTTCTTTTTACATACGTGATAACTGTAATGCATCCATTCCTTTTTCTGAGCTGCATTTTTCTAAATAGTCTTGACCCACATTGTACACAGTGTTAAAACATTTAAAACATGCTAATTCTGAGACTATAACAGACTACCCATCTTGCCCCTATCAAACCAACTCAGACCAAATGCTCGTTTACGCCTGCTGCTGCACTAGTGACGTGACCCTCCAGCTTGGCAGCACTGGACGTGTTGGTAAACTTTACAGCAACAATGTTCATTAAGTTTGGTGGTACTATAAACTAGTCTATTATATATTGCTGGATATAAACAGTAAGGCCTTGTGTAATGACACAGATAAGTGCTATAATCACTGGAAATTTAAAAGCATTTTTGCCACATCAGATTTTTCCCACTAATACTAGAGCTGAGCCAGGAGCTTAGTCTTGACCCTTCCAAATGTAACTCTGTGAGTACAGGGTAGGTTTAGTGCATCATTTTTTATTATAATAATAATATGAGTACAGGGTAAAAAATGAATATAAGCCTACTCTTGTAACTACAAACACTATTGATGGATGGGAGGCTGGAACTGTGGCCCTGAGAGTGGCAGGTTAAGCACTTTACTGCTGAGCTGTGGGGCTTCTAATAGGAAAGATCCGGAAACAGAACTTCTGGTCAGAAGCGCATTTACTTTTATACTCTGAGTATAAAAGTGAATGCACTTTTATACTCAAAGAAAAGCAAGGTAGTATAATAAAGACATGCAGAGGTAACCAAGATCATTACCAGGCCATTGTCACTGGCTAGCCAGCAATTGCCACTTAAAATGGCGATCAACATCTTCCAAGCTCAATTTCATGGCAACAACCATTTGCAACCTCAACCCCACACTTGTAAACACATCAAAATGCTATCACATACTTGAAACACAAAGTAACAAATATTTTCTTAAAAGACCAAACCCAAAGTGATCAGGTTACTTATTTTTTTTGTATACTTTTCTACTTATTTACCTACACTTCCTTTTTTACCCCTCTATATCATACCCCAAACCTCTCTCCTTTTTTTATGAGTCAGCAATTAATTTCTGGCTTCCTCTCTCCCTTTAAAACAAAATCATTTCTGTATCATCTCTATCAACATAGAAATATATTCCTACCCTTCCTTACTTGCAGGAGTGAAGTGATGAAAAGTTTTGTTTCCTACTATGTTGTGTGTTCACTGTGGTCACTACTATTGCTAGGAAGTCTATAGGGAGTCTCAGTTTCACTGTTTTCTTTTATTCACCTTCCCAGCAAGCATACTAGACTGTGTGCTACTTTAAACACTCAACGTTAGTCATATAGTGTATCGTATAGAAATACCTTCCCATGTGGAGCAGTTGTTAAATAATAGATCATAGTACTTATAACAGTGTTGTACTCCATAACAAGGCCTTACTGTATTCCCTGCATTCCTCACCAAATTATATGTACATGACCACCAATCTTCATGAAATTTCAGAGACTTGCCCATCTGTACTCTTAGTGAATGTGAATTCACTATTATAATTGGGATTAAATATATATTATCTGCAAACTAAAATATACTGTAAATGATGTAATGAATTTTCTATGTCTATAGAAAAATTCTTTGTACTGTATTTGTCTTTTGGCTTACGTCCCTTTCTACTTTTTCAAATATAGTGCAGAAAGATAATATTTTACATGCCTTTGATAGTTGGAGAATGTTTTTCACATTATCTCCATCCTTCAAGTGCTATAATATGTCACGAAGCATTATTATTTAGCAAGAATAAAATCTATTAATAATTATTCTATAAAAGTAAAGAAGGGACAAGTCCAAATTTTTAGAAATGGAATTCATAATAATGGCAACATGTATTTCATAAATACCTATCAAAATTTAGTGCTATACTTTTTAAATACCTGCAATATAAAGTGGTCTCTGCTGCTGGAAGAGTTTACATCACGGTCACATTGAAGATACTCACACGAATGTGTATTTTGATATGATGATCGAAGTTTTGGGCATAAATTCGTAGGACGTCTTTTGGGTTGAGTAACATTCATTGTGTGAATGATACTGATCAAAAATTGGCTTCATTTTACAGTAGAAATAGCTAATCAGGAAGCATGTATGTCATCCTCACTTAAAAAAAATAATATGGTTTCTAAGGCTAATTAAAATTTCAGCATAAATGAACCACTCTCAGAGTAATGCTAGAAAGAGAGATGCTTTTGGCCCCTGATTGGCTAGTTCGTGCTGGTAAATAGGAGAGCCAATTAATGACTGAAGAAAAAAAGTATTACTCTAACCTAAGTGACTTCTGGGAATTGGAGCCACACTCTGCATTTCTCTTAATTCTTTCTAGTGTGGTAGTTGCCATGTTCCACCTAGGGGCAAGTGAGAAATGGCCCACCATACTGCCTGGTTTTTTCATTGCTTATTTTTTGGTTAGGCTTATGGTAACCTGATGAAATACAGTATAATCTAAGTTTGCACTTTTTTATATTTTTTATGATTTTATCTTAATATATATTTCATATATTTTCACTGATATTAAGTTGTTTGATCAAAACACTGTTGTTAGCATGTGATATTGTACAACCTGCATGGGTTTTAAAGCACGATGGCTAGTTAGGCCATTCTTCATTAATGTTTGTGTTGGTCTTTCATAATGACGTTATCTCACATGAAAAAGATTGAGCGAGTGTTCATAAGCTAGTATTGTAATGCTTATATTATAGTAGAGTGTAATGTTGAGTGCATCATAATAGCTTAGGTGTTATAAATCTTACATACTAATGTTGAAATAAATTATGAATGATAGGATGCAGTTAAAAAGATTTAACTAGTGGTTTACTAAATGCTCTGTAACTGAACTTGTACTATTGCATGTGTTATCAATAGAAATTATTATTATTATATTCACAAAAAAAAGCATTAAACCTGTATGGGTCATTCAGCACTACTGTACTTATACTGTATATATATAAAGCTTTATAAATCAATGTAGCAGAACCCATAAACTCAGCATTTTACAGTTCTGTAATTAAAGATTTATGAATATTCTTCTTGGAGCCTTGATTATGTACAGGATGTACTGTACTGATGTTGCCAGGAAATTATTGTAAAGTGAAATTTGAACATATTCAACCAGTATAATTTTAGGGTGACTATTTAGCTGAAAAGTTAAACAGTGTATGTCAATTTAGTTTCAATATTGCAATATCTTTCAAGTGATATACGAGATAACAATTTATTTTGATTGTTACAAGGTATCTGTGATATAAGTAGAGATTGTAGTATCACGACTTCACACTATCAGATTCACAATCATGACTTCACACTATCAAATTCACAATAAAAAATTCCACATCTTAAATGGAGCCTACCACAGTGTGGTTAACTGCTTCTGATTCATATATGTAATGGATGGAACAATGGTTATCATTAGGACCTGGGAGCCCTCAGTATCTTTGAGTTCAGATTCAACAAGTACACTACTGTACTTTACAATTTCACTTTTTAGTTTCATGTGATTCAACCCATTGCCCAAATGCACTTGGGCCTAGTTATAAGGGCATATCATTGCATCTGAGGTTGTAAGGCAACACAGGTGTACACTACAATTAGGCAAATTTGACGAAGTCTCCAGCCCTCTTTATTTGTGTGTACCAACCCATATCTTGCTTGGGAGGCAAATTCTTGTCCAGTGAGTCACTGATTCACCATAATACAAAAGTAATAAACACTATTTCAAGTGATCTAGTCCATTGCTTGAATGTATTTAGGTATATTTATATTACTGTTTCATTGCATACTAGTTTGTACGGCAAAATAAATGATCAGTACAATTACTGTGGGGTGAACTCTGTTGGTCACCAAGCTTCTTATTGAGTTTACCTAACAGTTTACCTTACAACGTGGATGCAGTAAAATAACCATACGTATAATTGAGCTACATGCATCCAGCAGTGGGTTGAAGATTTTGAAATAAGTGTTCATTGCCTTTTTTTTTTGTAATGTGGTAGCACAGTGGCAAGGTCTCTGAATGTTATTCACCCAATGGGAGTTCATCTCCCAGGTAAGGTGTGGGTTGTTTTATGCACATATTAAATAATATGTAAGTGTAATGTCACATATGTAAATCACTTGAAAAACAATATTTTAAAAATGGTCAAGAAATAAAACTTAATTAAAAAATTGCATAACTGAAGTCTTATTATACAATTTTGTTTTACAATAATTACTTTATTTTTAAATATTCCAACTGTTTTAAAATACTGTATAGATTTACAGTAGTTTTTTTTCTTTATACGGGAGATTTTGCTTGAAATTAAATCTCTGTAAGTTTGAAAAAGATTCTTAAAAGTAGTAGATGGAATTTTCACAAACTTAAAACTGTATTATTTAATAAAAAATTATTCTGATAATTTATTTTTATTATAAACAGAGAACTGTCATTTTATACAATCAAAGAATAATTTTTGTGTAAAGTTTTAGAAGTGGTTTTATAAAATTAGGAAATGGCAACTTTCTATATGTTTTTTGATAAATCAACTTAAAAATATTGTAAAAAAATTTAGGTAATACCTTTCCTTTTACCAGTCTTGGATTTCCCTGCTGTTTTTGGCTGAATATGTCTCATTCCACCCTCTGCTCTCTTTCTCTTGATTCCTATTTTCTAATGCTTGGCCAGCTCTCAGCCAGGTAACATTTCTCCTTGTTCACTCCTCTACATAGGCAACACAGAGGCTAACAACAAATTTTCAGGCACCTGGTAAACCTGTACATGCATTGTGATGATAGAACAATTTGCCTGGATTGCAAAACAACCATGTGAGATAATTCCCATCCAGAGGAGGGTATTGAGAAAGAGTTATTATTACAAGGCTGAAAAGAAATACACTGTAGTTCTTCCAGTCATTGCAGCTAGTTTTGAAAGGATTGTTCACCAAAACACAATCATATCCCTATCCCCCACATCCTCTATTGATAATACAGATTCAGGAGGGCAAAAATATCCTTTGTTTTTTTTTCCCATGACTTTCTTTCAACTTCCTGTGTTCACTGCCTATGGCAGATCAACATGTGAATGATTATGTTTGAGATTTTTGCTTGAGATGATGCATATGGTAGGTGTTCATATGAATTTTTGTTAATATGAATGGGTAAGCATGGCAGTGATCAGGATCTTCTTGCCTAACAGGGCATTAACTTTGAACTACCTCTAGTTCTGGATGTTGGGTTTTGTTTAGGACCTAAAGTATGAGATCTTTTGCATGCACATCCTGAATGAGTAGTCTCTGGAGTAGTTCAATTTTTGAGCACCTAGCAAAACAGGTTATGCATTTCCTGTCTCAGTGCTATGATAATTTGTAATCTTATCCATTTTGCAGCTGCCTCCACTGTGATTTTTAAGTATTGTTGGAAGTATTCCTAAGTACTCTACACATAGTTTATCAGAACTCATACACAGATTACATTTTGAAGTATGAATAAATGTTTGATTAGGTCCAGCTGTTTGTGAACCAGCTGGATACAGCCATAAAAAATTGAGAATCAGAACGAGAACAGAGGATAGGAGACATACTGAGTTAAAAGTGACAAAGAATTCCCAGTCCAGTAAAGGAAGAGATGTTACCTAAGATGTTAAATTTCTGAGTAGCTTGAGAGTACCGTATGAAAATACCAATAATAAGATAGGTAAATGGACGCATGTAACATTTTTGATACCTTATTCTTGGCTGTTTTTTGCAAACACTAAGGCTTGACCAAGCTCCTTGTAAGCAAAATGTAGCCTACACTAAAGCATCCAAATTGTTGCATGTATCTATTTATCTAATCCTAAGTGATTTACTGAATTCAACACAGAAATTAATTTTTCATACTTAAAAATATATTTTAGTCAGAGAAAAGATACAGTTGTCATACAATTGGAAAATTGCCATTTTTATGATGTAGCTGGAAAATGACAATTGTATAAAATCAAATACTAATTATTTTTCATATATTCCAAGAATGGCTTTGTTATTCTGAGATTGTTTGTTCTTCTGTCCCAGAATAGCAGCAAATGTACTGGTTTGATGTTTAACTCAATTAGCAGCACCTTCATTTAATGCTGGATAATATTAAATGTAGTTAACAAAAAGCTTGATACATTTCATGACTTACTCATTAACTTTGGTTACTTATATTTATGCATATAAAAGTAAATATTTTCAATATTTTTTTTTTTTAGTTTTCATGCTTGGTTGTCTATCTCCTCTGTAATATTTTATTTGCAAGTAATTAAGTCGATTTTGCATCTTTTACTAATATTTTAGTGTTGTTTATTCTACCCCATCCTGCTGTGACCTCATATTCGACTTCCTGTGAACTCACTTGGACAACTGCTAGACGAAGGAGTCAATGACATTAGAAATCAACGAGAATGCCATTGTGTGGCCAGGAAATACAACCATCAAGCCCCAAGGTTACATGATTCCTACCAGGCTTAAGGTTAGTACTATAAGCAAACACTCAATAAAACAAAACAATACAAATTTTATTTAAAAAATCATTACTTTATAATTGTTACAAAATTAGCAGACATTTATTTTCATCACTAGTGACATTAGCAAGTTTGCCAGTGTTATTAAAGAAAGACTTAGGAATTCTGATTAGCAGTAATTTAAAGCAAAGACAACTGTGCATAAATCTGCACTCTCTTGAAAGGCGTAGAATTAGGGGGATATGATCGAGGTGTATAAATAGAAAATAGGAATAAATAAAGGGGATGTAAATAGCGTGCTGAAAATTTCCAGCCAAGACAGGACTCGCAGCAATGGTTTCAAGTTGGAAAAATTCAGATTCAGGAAGGATATAGGAAAGCACTGGTTTGGTAATAGAGTTGTGGATGAGTGGAACAAACTCCCAAGTGCAGTTATTCAGGCTAAAACATTGTGTAGTTTTAAAAATAGGTTAGATAAATACATGAGTGGGTGTGGATGGGTGTGAGTTGGACCTGACTAGCTTGTGCTGCTGGGTCTGGTGCAGTGCTCCATCCTTGAGTGGAGATGACCAGTCTGGGTGGGTCATTTGGCTAATCCGGGGGGGAGGGGGGATCATTGGTCTAATATGGGGGAGACATGGACCTGCTCCGCATGGGTCAGTAGGCCTGTTGCAGTGTTCTTTCTTTCTTATGTTCTTAAATGTTTGCAATAAATCTAATGGAATTCTTGGCTTCATATCATGAAGTATAAATAGGAATTCTTAAGTTATACTTCAATTTTATATATCCTGGTAAGGCCTCGTTTAGATTATGCTGCACAGTTCTGGCCACCATATTACAGAATGGACATAAATGCATTGGAAAACATACAGAGATGGATGACAAAGTTCATTCTATGTACAGTAGACCGTCATTTATCACGAGGTTATTTGGCACAATTTGAGTATAGCATGACTGAAGAATTGCAACACATTTTTATGTAGCACGTTGTATGGTCAATTTAACACGATTTGCGGGAGGGGAAAAAATTTTGAGCGTGCGGTCGCCTGGTCGCCCGCGGTGGGTTATACCATTGAGTCAATGGGGGAGGCCTACTGCCATCCCCCTGCCACCCACACCCACCCCCACCACGCTCCTAGCCTCCAGTTTGGTTCATACGCGTGCAGGCGAAGATACTCGGGAACCTAGCTGTGTTTGTTTACAAAAATATTTTCTTATTTTCATTGCCATTTGTTAATTCTGCCAAGCAATCATGGCACCCAGTAAGCATACAGTTGTTGCCGAAAGTGACAAGAAAAGGTTTAAGCGTTCAAGTCTAGGAATTGCAAAGAAAATTGAGATATTAGACAAGCTTAAGAGTGGATCATGTGTGGTGGATATAGTGAGGGCCTGTGGCCTTAGTGAGGCGTCGGTTCATGCAATTAAAAAGAATGAGGCGAATATACGAGCTTGTGTAATGAATAACACAAAATGTCATCTCATGAAAAGAATGACACGTAGGTCCCAGCAAGTAAATAAAACAGAAAACTTGTTGCTTGAGTGGATTGAACAAAAGACAAAAAAAGGTACACCACATAATAAGTTAAATAATATTAAGTTTTCTGGTGAAAGTGCTTCGGCTGATCATACAGCAGCAAGTAATTTTCCTGCTGAATTGCAGGAAATTATTTCTGAGGGTAGCTATGAGCCACATCAAGTGTTTAATGCTGACAAGACAAGTGTTTTTTGGAAAAAAATGCCAACACAAACTTATATCAGTCAGCAAGAGAAGAGTGCACCGGGCTTCAAGGCACCAAAGGACTGCTTCACCTTGCTCCTTTGCGGTAATGCATCAGGTGATTTCAAGTGTAAGCCCATGGTTATTTACCACTCTAAGAATCCTCATGCTTTGAAAGGTGTAGATAAAAACACCTTACCAGTAATTTGGAGGTCAAATCAGTCAGCATGGATGACAGAGGAAATATTTATTGACTGGTTTAACCCTTTGACTGTTTTCGACGTATAAATACGTCTTACGAGCCAATGTTTCTGACGTATATATACTCAATAATTCTAGCGGCTTCAAATCAAGCGGGAGAAAGCTGGTAGGCCCACATGTGAGAGAATGGGTCTGTGTGGTCAGTGTGCACCACATAAAAAAAATCCTGCAGCACACATTGCGTAGTGAGAAAAAAAAAACTCTGATCGTTTTTTTGGAATAAAACGCCGACTTTGAGGTGTATTTTCGTATAGTATTTATCGTTGTATTCGCGTTTTCATGGTCTTAGGTGATAAAATGGAAAACATATTACAGAAATAGAGATGATTTTCATTACTTTGACGATGAAAACGACCTTGAAACTGAGCTCAAAGAAGCGGAAATGTTCGATTTTTACCAATGTTCAGGAGTAAATAAATCACACCACACGTCCAATACACGTCAACTGGGGAGTCTAATATTCTTTCACTAGTGCACTGATATTATTTATACCATTTTTACAATAATGCAGTAGTCTGCATAACAGTAAATTTTGTATTTTTTTGTATGAATAAAAAATCAAAATAGAAAGCAATAATAATATAAGAGGGGCCTAGAGATGTGACTAATGAACAGAGCATATGTTATTTTAGTGCCACGAATGTCTACCTTGTTTATTCTGGACCCTATTTTGAAATTGGCATCTTTTTTAGTTTGCATGAAATTGGCCAAATTGCCAATTTCTGACCACCATATTGGGTAGTCCAAATTAGTAAATGGGAGGTTTCTTGTACTCAACTGATAGATAAAATGGAGTTCTAAAGAAATAGCTATGAGTTTGGTCAACTGGAACAATGGAATTGGCTGACAATAGGGCTCAAAGTCGGCGAAATCGCCGATACGCATATGTCGCCGAGACTGCTAACTTTGCGGGAGCATAATTCCATGAGTTTTCGACCAAATTTTGAACTTTTGGTGTCATTACCATCGGGAAAAGATTCTCTATCATTTCATAAGAAAAAAATAATTTTTTTTTTCAAAAATTGAGCGACATAGAATGACAGTTTCAGAAAGGGGCCTGAAACAGTCAAAGGGTTAAGCATCACTTTATTCCTGAAGTCAAGTTTTACCTGCACAGCAAGAACCTTGCATTCAAGGTTCTCTTCATTCTTGATAATTCCCTTACTCATCTACAAGCTTTGCTGGATGTGACCCCACATGTAAAAGTTGTATTTTTACCTCCAAATACAACATCTCTAATACAACCACTGGATCAGGGAGTTATTAAGTCATTCAAGTGTAACTACACAAAAAACTTACGAAAAAACTAGTTGCATCAATGGACTCTAATTTCAACTTGGCAGTACCGAGCTTCTGGAATAAATTTAACATTGCAGGTGCCATCAGCTATGCTAGAAGTGCATGGAATGAAGTGCCCCAATCAACATTAAATGCAGGCTGGGGAAAGTTATGGCCTTCTGTGGTTAATTCTTTGACTGGTTTCCCCTTGCTTGAGAGTCAGGTTCAGGAAATTGTTCAGCTGGCAAGGAGATTACCAGGTGATGGTTTTGAAGATATGAATGAAGATGTGAATGAGCTCTTTGAAGATGATGATGATCAAAACAGGAGTCCAGAGGAAATGTTAGCAGAGCTCAACGCACAGATACAAGGAAGGGACATAACAGAAGAAAAATATGAAGAAGAACCTGAAGAAAAACAGTTAACATTTCAGCAGACTTTTTCACTGAAGAGGACCCTGACAAATCTAGAAGCAGTGTTTTGAAACAGGGTCTAGACCAGCTGATGATGCCTTACTGTCAGCTGTATAATGTATTTTAGGGTAAAACAGCCCAGAGAACCATTACAGAATTTATGCACACTCCAATACAGCCATCGACTTCAGTACCAGAACCTCTACCATCCACTTCTGTCGACAACCAACAGCCCAGTAGGGCTACACCATCCATATCCACTATCTCCACAATTATCCACGCACACCATTACCCATAATTTAAGGTAAGAAATACTATTATTTCTATTGCATTTGTAGTCTTAAGCAGTAATATATCACGACAATGAACTACAATTACATATTCACTTTTATTTTTGTAAGATCTGTTGGTCTAAAAAAAGTTGTTTGGCTTTTTGGGGGCACCTAGAAACGTAACCCTATTTTTCCCATAAGTTCTTCAGTTCTTTTCGCACGATTTTTAATGACATGGCATTTTCAGGAATGTAATTACCGTGCTAAATAACAGTCTACTGTATCGGAAATCTTTCCTATGAGGATAGACCGAAGACACTGAATCTAATCTCCAGAAGGGTGTTGAATTAGGGGGGATATGATTGAGGTGTATAAATGGAAGATAGGATTAAATAAATAGGATCTGCAGACAGAACTGGTTTAAATTTCTAGGAAGCATTAGATAGGTCATTGATGTAGATGAAAAATAATAGAGAGCCTCTGTTGATAGATCTAGTTGCAGAAGTTTTGTTATTAATCGTCACATACAATGGAACCTCTACTTACGAGCGTGTCCATGTGCGAATTTTTCCAAATACGAGCAGACGATGGGTCGGTTTTTTGTTTCCATACGCGAGCAAAATTTTCATAAGTGAGCAAACCTCAAGGCAGGTTTCTTGATGCTGGTGAGGGGCTCTTGCTCTTGATCTGGGGAATTGTATCTCATTTGTTTGTTGGACTATCTTATTGAAACTTGGGCAATGTATGATGGAAAGATGCTTCTTAACGTACACCAAAAATGAAAGAAATCTAAGCATTAATAATGGAGTTCACTTCTCAGCAATTAGCCACCCCTTAGCAGTACAGTGGACCCCCGCATAACGATCACCTCCGAAGCGACCAATTATGTAAGTGTATTTATGTAAGTGCGTTTGTACGTGTATGTTTGGGGGTCTGAAATGGACTAATCTACTTCACAATATTCCTTATGGGAACAAATTCGGTCAGTACTGGCACCTGAACATACTTCTGGATTGAAAAAAATATCGTTAACCGGGGGTCCACTGTACGTATTTTCGTATGGTTTTTATGGTTGTATTCTCGTTTTTTTGGTCTCATTTGATAGAATGGAAGATATATTACAGAAATAGCTATGATTTTGATTGCTTTCACAACGAAAAGTACCTTGAAATTGAGCTCAACACAGGAGAAGTGTTCAGTTGTTTTGGCTATGGTCAAGAGTAAACAATATGCAGTCGTGAATAGGTTGACATTATTTATACAATTATTGCAATAAGGCGTAACAGTAAATCTTATATTTTTTGTGTGAATAAAAATTACAAATTATTTATATTGTAATAATAATAATAATAATAATAAAAATAATAACATAGAAAGGAGTAAGGTGATGAGGGTATCAAATGATTTAGATAAAGAAAAATTGGATATCAAATTGGGGAGGAGGAGTATGGAAGAAGTGAATGTTTTCAGATATTTGGGAGTTGACGTGTCAGCGGATGGATTTATGAAGGATGAGGCTAATCATAGAATTGATGAAAGAAAAAAGGTGAGTGGTGCATTGAGGTATATGTGGAGGCAAAAAATGTTATCTATGGAGGCAAAGAAGGGAATGTATGAAAGTATAGTAGTACCAACACTCTTATATATACATGTATATATGACATATTTTATTCATTCTAGAGTATATATCAGATTTCTATGTTATTTATATTGTTTATTATGTCATATTAGATGAACTGTGATAGATAAATAAGCCGTATAGATGATATTAGCAAAATTATTCAAGAAGTATTTTGTCCGGTCTCCAGACAAGCTCGTCCACCATCGACACCGCCCATACCACTATACATGAATGACATTTTTTTATTAGCACACTGGCCGATTCCCACCAAGGCAGGGTGGCCCGAAAAAGAAAAACTTTCACCATCATTCACTCCATCACTGTCGTACCAGAAGGGTGCTTTACACTACAGTTTTTAAACTGCAACATTAACACCCCTCCTTCAGAGTGCAGGCACTGTACTCCCCATCTCCAGGACTCAAGTCCGGCCTGCCGGCTTCCCTGAATCCCTTCATAAATGTTACTTTGCTCACACTCCAATAGCACGTCAAGTATTAAAAACCATTTGTCTCCATTCACTCCTATCAAACACGCTTACGCATGCCCGCTGGAAGTCCAAGCCCCTCGCACACAAAACCTCCTTTACCCCCTCCCTCCAACCTTTCCTAGGCCGACCCCTACCCCGCCTTCCTTCCACTACAGACTGATGCACTCTTGAAGTCATTCTGTTTCGCTCCATTCTCTCTACATGTCCGAACCACCTCAACAACCCTTTCTCAGCCCTCTGGACAACAGTTTTGGCAATCCCGCACCTCCTCCTAACTTCCAAACTACGAATTCTCTGTATTATATTCACACCACATATTGCCCTCAGACATGACATCTCCACTGCCTCCAGCCTTCTCCTCGCTGCAACATTCATCACCCATGCTTCACACCCATATAAGAGCGTTGGTAAAACTGTACTCTCATACATTCCCCTCTTTGCCTCCAAGGACAAAGTTCTTTGTCTCCACAGACTCCTTTCATAGACCCATCCGCTGACACGTCCACTCCCAAATATCTGAATACATTCACCTCCTCCATACTCACTCCCTCCAATCTGATATCCAATCTTTCATCACCTAATCTTTTTATTATCCTCATAACCTTACTCTTTCCTGTATTCACTTTTAATTTTCTTCTTTTACATACCCTACCAAATTCATCCACCAACCTCTGCAACTTCTCTTCAGAATCTCCCAAGAGCACAGTGTCATCAGCAAAGAGCAACTGTGACAACTCCCACTTTATGTGTGATTCTTATCTTTTAACTCCACGCCTCTTGCCAAGACCCTCGCATTTACTTCTCTTACTACCCCATCTATAAATATATTAAACAACCACGGTGACATCACACATCCCTGTCTAAGGCCTACTTTTACTGGGAAATAATCTCCCTCTTTCCTACATACTCTAACTTGAGTATGTAGAAAAGACGTATTTTATTTATTTTAGAGTATATATATCAGGTTTCTGTGTTATTTATATTGTTTATTATGCCATATTAGATGAAGTGATATAGATAAATAAGCCATAGAGTTGATATTAGGGAAATTATTGAAGCACAGAATTCCACAGGAATGGATTAATTGCATTTGAATTAATTTAAATGAGGAAAATTGACTCTGCAAACGAGCAAATCCAGTTACGAGCAAGGTCATGGAACGGATTAAACTCGCAAATAGAGGTTCCACTGTATTTGATATTCTGTTAAGATAGAACTTTATGTGTGTGAAAGCATGGCTTCATTCCATAATGTAGTTTAAGTAGCTGGATGTTGTGATCTTGTATATCAAAAAAATTTTTTAGATCAATTAAGAGACCCATTGGGTATTCATTAGTTTCTAGAGATGAATTGATTGAGTTATTCATGATTATTATTGCATCATTCATTCTTTTTATTGGCCTGAAACCAAAGTGCCAATAGTTAAGCTTATTTTGTGTGGTTATGAAAATGTCTGTCTTTTTTTTTTTTTTTGGAATAACATTTGAGATAGTCCATTAAATCTAAAATTATCCATTATATTTACAGTTCACTGGTTAAATTAATTTTAGATTTCTTTCTTTCAACACACTGGCCGTATCCCACGAATTGTTTGTTCACTGGGTAGAGTGTCAGTTATTGTTATGACCATAGAGAAACAATCTCATCATTCAGACTTAATGGGCACCTGGCTTTACTGGGCACCCCCCCTTACCCCTACTAACCCACTAAATCAAGGTTTTATTGTAATAATCTTTGTTGTTAAAGGTACAGTAGTGTAATTGTTCCCTCTTTTTCACACTTGAACCAGCACATATTAAATGTCACAATGTCCTCAGGTCTTGACCATCGAAGAGAAACCATTTGTGACAACACAGAAAATTGAAAGCAAAGCTGAATGTCTAGGAGGTGGCCGTGTTCTCTGTCCCTGGTACAACAGCTCAGGAGAGGGTTCTGACCTCTTTTGTTGCACTGGTTATTGCATTGACTTGCTCAATACTCTTGCTAATAAAATCAATTTTACTTTTGAACTTGCACTTTCTCCTGATGGCCAGTTTGGGTCTCTCCAGATGAATGAAAACACAGGTAAGTGAATCAGATGATTGATGAGATGATTTCTCAAGTATATATTGACACAAACACTATGTTATGTGTTTAAAAATTTAATGGGTGTGAAGCTTGGGTTGGAAATGCTGCAGTGAGGAGGCGGCTGGAGGCAGTGGTGATGTCCTGTCTAAGGGCAATGTGTGGTGTAAATATTATTGCAGAGAATTTGGAGTGTGGAAATTAGGAGGAGGTGTGGAGTTACTAAAAGAATTAGTCAGAAGGCTGAAGAGGGGTTGTTGAGGTGGTTTGGTCATTTAGAGAGAATGGATCAAAGTAGAATGACTTGGAGAACTTATAAATCTGTAGGGAAAGGAAGACAGGGTAGGGGTTGTCCTTGAAAAAGTTGGGGAGGGGGGTAAAGGAGGTTTTGTGGGCAGGGCTTGGACTTCCAGCAAGCATGTATGAGCATGTTAGATAAGAGTGAATGGAGATGAATGGTTTTTGGGACCTGACGAACTGTTGGAGTGTGAGCAGGGTGATATTTAATGAAGGTATTCAGGGAAACCGGTTATTTTTATATAGCCGGACTTGAGTACTGGAAATAGGAAGTACTTACAATGCCTGCGCTTTAAAGGAGGGGTTTGGGATATTGGCAGTTTGGAGGGGTATTACCTGGAGAGAGTTCCGGGGGTCAACGCCCCCGTGGCCTGGTCTGTGACTCTGCAAAGACATTGATTATGTGTGAGTGAGGTGAAAGTGTTGAATGATGAAGAAAGTATTTTCTTTTCGATTTTCTTTCTTTTTGGGTCACACTGCCTCGGTGGGAGATGGCCACCTTGTTGAAAAAAAAAATTAATTTTAATGCTAGAGTCACTCTGGAAATATATATTTTAAGTGCAATTTATTATTGGAGTTATAATTCTCTAAAAGGGTTTTTACATGTTATAAATTATATCCTGTAATTGTATATGGGCTTAAACAGATAATTTTATACTTAGGATATTGATAAAACTTTGTTTAACATATTGATATAACTTTGTTTTTTTGTTCACAAATTATTATTAAATTTGTAAAATGAAAGATGTTTCCACTTAACTGTGTGTTATATATTCATCATCATCTTGTCTGTCATGTACTGTGCATCTCCAGGTTTTTCCAGTTGAATATGCATTATATTCACTTTCTTAATTCTTTGATTTTTTCCGACCTGTAAGGTACTCTATTTTTCTAATACTGTACACTTGTTTATATAATTTTCCATTCATCATTATATTATCATATTATAATAAGAAATTTCATAAGAAGTACTTAGGCTATCATGTGTATAAAATCTGACTGAACCTACTATAGTAAGTATAATGATTTCTTCTCTCCTGCTACATCTTGTAATCTCTTACTGGCATATGACTGTAACAAGAATTATGATGACAGCTAGGAATTATAGTGGGAGATGCTGTTAAGTTATGATTATGCACATTTGTTTTCATAAATTTGTGGAGAGGAGATAAACAAAACCATGTGTTTTAACAACAACTTTCGAAAATTAGTGTATAGTACTGTAGTTTATAACGGACATTTTTTTTTTACTTATGTTCAATCTGACCCATAAGCTATATACTCACTTTTACCATTGATTCAATGCATCCGTGTTAGCAGTTTTTCTGTTTATGGTATTTGTTTTTAGAAACATAACCATCACAGAATTAGGTAATTGAAGACTGGATATCAGATTGGAGAGAGGGAGTATGGAAAAAGTGAATATGTTCAGATATTTGGGAGTTGATTTGTCAACAGGTGGGTCTATGAGAGATGAGGTGAACCATAGAATTGACAAGGGGAAAAAGGTGAGTGGTGCACTGAGAAGCCTGTGGAGACAAAGAACATTATCCATGGATGCAAAGAGGGTAATGTATGAGAGTATAACGGTACCAACACTCTTATATATGTGTTAAGCATGGGTGGTGATTGTTGCAACATCGCCATTATTGCAACAAGTTGCAGCAGTGACGATGTTGTGTCTGAGGACAATGTGTGTTGTGAATATTATGCAGAGAATCTGTAGTTTGGAGATTAGGAGGAGGTGCAGGGTCTCTAAAAGTATTATCCAGAGGGCTGAGGAGGAGTTGTTGAGGTCGTTCAGATATTTAGAGAGGATAGAACAAAATGGAATGACTTGGAGGGTGCATAAATCTGTAGTGGAAGGAAGGCTGGGTAGGGGTTGTCGTAGGAAAAATTGAAGGGAGCTGGTAAAGAAGGTTTTGTGTGCAAGGGGTTTAACTTCCAGCAAGCATGCATGAGCATGTTAGACAGGCCTGAGTGGAGTGTGAGCAAAGTAAGATTTATGAAGGGATTCAGGGAAACTGGTTAGTCGGACTTAAGTCCTCCACTCTGAAGGAGGGGAAGAGATGTGTTGCAGTTTTTGAACTGTAGTGTTGGCATGCCTCTGGCAAAACAGTGATGGAATGAATGATGATGAAAGTGTTTCTTTTTTTTGGGTCACTCTGCCTTGGTGGGGAAATGGCTGATGTGTTAGTAAAATAAAAAAAAAATCAAGTACCTAGGATTTACTGTAATCAGGTAAATAAGATGCATCAGTCCCTCAGAAGAAAGGAGAATGCCAACATGGTGTAGGATTGGCAGGAAAGTTGCTGTTAGTAAGGTCATTTGAAGTGCAATAGTTGCACACTTCTGTCAAGACTGCTGTTGAATGAGTGAAGGTGTATTTGCTATCTTCTTTAGGTCTCTACCTTGGTTCAAAATGGCTAGTGTTGTAAAAGAAAAAAAAAGTTTTTCCAGATACAAAATGTACCTTCATCTCACTATGTCACAGGAAAGAAGGAATGGACTGGTCTCATTGGCCAGTTGGTGAACCAGACACATGGTGCTGACATGATTGTTGCACCTCTAACAATCAACCCAGAGCGGGCACAGGTTATAGAGTTCTCCAAACCTTTCAAGTACCAAGGAATCACTATCTTAGAAAGAAAGGTAGGTTACGCAAGTAGTAAATTTTGCCACTTACTGTTTAGTCCCATGTTTATTAAATACCTTATTAAAAGTAATTTAATATTTGTTCATGAAAACTTTTAGTAATGCCATTTTAAAAATATTGTATTTCACAGGTTATTAAAATTAATAATACCTTTATTCATAATTCATAAGATTGTCTTCAGGGATAGAACATGAAACCTTTGAGAAACATATGTGATACAAAGTATTAGAAATGAAAATACACATGTATACAAAAGTTTCTCTTGATAATAGGTGAATAGTTAGTACATTAACATCACTTTTCACTAGTGTACAGTACATGGAAAATGAACAGGCAGATATTCTTCGGTTTTGTTTCTGTAGCTAGGTATCTAAAGTAGGAGTTCAGTATTGTAATTTTTATTTGTCATTTGAAGTAACAATGGAGACTTTGATAATTGACGTAAGGCATTTGGGGCACTTCAAATGCCTCTATACATATTGGCAAGATTAATATCGTCTAATTCTTAACACATTAATTTCAAGTTTATTTTCATTTCAGATATATTGTTAATGATGTACATAGGTAACAAAAAATTTTTGAACATACATGTACCTGTTTCAGGCATTAGTGTGATTACCAGTACAATTAGAAAATTCTGTACAGGTTATTTTATATTTGGAATAAATGTGTTTTCAATGTGGAAGGTTTTAGTTTTTATAGTATCATCCCAGAGATTCAGTAGTTATCTTTATTTTCTTTTGTTCGCAGCAACCTCGGTACTCCACCTTAGTGTCCTTTCTTCAACCCTTTCGCAACACCCTCTGGATCTTGGTGATGGTGTCAGTGCACGTAGTAGCACTAGTCCTCTACCTCCTCGACAGATTCAGTCCTTTTGGCCGGTAGGTTTCCCCTCTGTCCCTAAAGGCTGAATACCTCCTACTACAGTATTTTTTTTTTTCCAACAAACTGGCCATATCTCACCAAGGCAGGACTGCAGTATTGTATGTTCATAATTTTTTAACACCTTTCATCTCCCACCAAGGTATGGTGACCCAGAAAAGAAGAAACACTTGCTATCATTCATTCAATCACTGTCTTAACAGAACCATGTTGATCTCACAACTCAGATGACCCTATCAACTGCAACCTCCCCACCCCTCCTCCTGTCTAACACACTCACACAAGCTTGTTGGATGTCCAGGCCCCTAGTACTCAAAACCTTCCTTAACCCCTCCCTCCAAATTTATATACATACGTAAAACTTGCATTATCCATTGAAGTCTAGACCAAGGCCTGCCAGAAACAGATACTGGATTAATGTTAATGTACTATCATATGCAGTACTCTCATGTACTACTATAATATCATGCTGTATCTACAGTAAACAGTACATATTTTTAGTTTATCTTAAAAAATGGTATAGTCATTTTAAATAGCTTCATACTATATACTACTGTGTGTACACATGCATGCACATACTCACATGTACATATATGCACCACATGCACATACATGTGCCCCACACTTTTTTTTAACACTAACCGTCTCCTACCAAGGCAGGGTGACCCAAAAAAGTACATAATACTTTCACCATCATTCACATTATCACTATCTTGGTACATTATAGTACTAAGGGCTCTTGCTGAAGCAGGAGATAACACAGAAGGAATGTATAGAAGAGTGATAACTTAAAATTAATCCAAAGTTCTAAACCTCAGAGAAATTGTACCAGAATTGGTACAACTTTCACTGTAGAAGTGCCAAAGCATGTACATAAATGCACTACAATATCAGCTAGGGTTATTCACATAGGTAGGATTTTGTTTAATAAAGTTCCCAGTGGAAGATTCAAGTACATTTGTTAATATTATATTATGACTAGATTTATATCACACTTTTTACCAAAGTGATAATGTGAATAATGAGTGTTGTGTCATGAGCTTAGCATTATTTCTTCACTATTTCAGTTACAAGTTGGCTAATATGGATGGTACAGAAGAAGATGCTCTTAACTTGTCTTCTGCAATATGGTTTGCATGGGGAGTTTTGCTCAACAGTGGTATAGGTGAAGGTAAGCTTAACTGTACTGTTGATGGTACTGTAGCTCATCATCCCCTGCAGTTTGGTTCCATACTAAGCCTTCTGGTTGAGATCTTGATCAGTCAGTTTATTGGTGTTAGCAGTACACAGTTTAGTCTACGCATCACAGCCTAGCTGATCAAGAACTGCCTTAACCCTTTCAGGGTCTGTCCCGTAGATCTACGGCTTTACGGTGAGTGTCCAAACCGTAGATCTACGCCATGAGCTCAGCTCACTCTGATAAGCTGTGAGTGGTACATTTGGGCCTAGATATGAGAGAATACATCTATGTGGTATGTGTGCACCACATAAAACAGATCCTGCAGCACACTGTGTATAATGAGAGAAAAAAACTGAAATCATGATTTTTCGATTAAAACAGCGACTTTGCAGTGTTTTTCGTATGTTTTTTATAGTTGTATTTGCGATTTCGGTCTCATTTGATAGAATGGAAGACATATTACAGAAATAGAGATGATTTTGATTGGTTTTAGCACTGGAAATGGCTTGAAACTGAGCTCAAAGTAGCGGAAATGTTAAATTTTTGCCGATATTCAAGAGTAAACAAACGACCTCACACATCTAATACACACCAGCTGGTGGGTCTAATATGCATTCACAAATATGGTGATGATATTTATACAATTATTACAGTATTGCATAACAGTAAATCTTCTATTTTTTGGTATGAATAAAAATTCATTATGTGAATAAAAAATCAAAATGGAATTTATTTGTAAAGCCTCAAAATGTAACTAATGAACAGAGGAAATGTTAGTTTAGTTCCAGGAATACCTACATTGTTTATTCTGGAGCCTATTTTGAAATTGGAATATTTTGAACTTTGTGTTAAATTGGCCAAATTAACAATTTCCGATCACTTTATTTTGTAGTTGAAACAGTTGATTTGGCGATTTCTTGTGCTCAGTCGATAGAATAGAAGTAATACTAGTGAAGTAGCTAAGAATTTGGTTGATTGGAATAATGTAATTGGCCTAAAATGGGAGTCAAAGTCGGCAAAATCGCCGACTCATAAATATCGCTGACACATCAAAATTCGCGAGAGCATAATTTCGTCAATTTTCCACCAAATTTCGTACTTTTTGTTTTATTACCTTCACAAAAAGATTCTCTACGATTTCATAAGAAAAAATAAATTTTTTTTTTTTTTTAAATTCTTGGACACTGGTGCGTGACTTCAGATTTTGGCCTTGGACCCTGAAAGGGTTAAGGAACTTTGGCTTCTCTCTCAAAGAACTTATCTTTTTCAACATTTCTACCTGCTTCTTTTTCTTCATACCTATTTTGAAATTTCCTTTTCTCAGAGGCAGTGTCTACCTCTAGTCTTGCCTAAACATTAGTTTTTGGTCATGACCATAATGCATGATAAAGATTCAGCAGCAACATATACACATTATATTTTTTGCCTAGTATCAAAATGTGGAAGGCACCATTTCATGCAAAACATAGAAGGCACCATTTCATGCAAAACATAGAAGGCACCATTTCATGCAAAGCGTAGAAGGCACCATTTCATGCAGAACCTTTATAAAACTCAAGCACATAGTTCATACAAAATGAAACTTCACACGGTGCATATGACTCTTCCAGCTGTTTTACAACCATCTAGTATCTGTCCATATGACCCTAGTATTTTTTGTTTAAATGACCCATATCTGTTCATACAACTCTTAGTATTTGTCCATATGGCCCCAGTATATGTTCATATGATCCAAGTACCTGTTCATAAGACCCTCTAGCACCTGTTCATATGAACCCAATATCTGTTTATAAAACCCTAATGTCTGTTCAGTTGACTGCAGAACAATAGTGTGCCTTTTATTTTTATTTTGTTTGTATTCTTTATCACTTGATCAAAAATTCAGTTTTTACCTCAGTGAGAAGCAATTATGTATTTTGAAATCAGAAAACATATGATATTTGTCATTTTCTCACTACAATTTAATGATATTCCCATTACCTTTTTTTGTACATACAATGACTTATTACAGTGGCTAATAATGTCTTCCCCATCACCTTATATGCTTCATGCAAATTTCCCATTACCTTATAGTGACTTTACTACAGTAGTTCATTCTGATTACCCATCACCTTGTATTACAGTGGCTTTACCACAGTACAGCAATACCTTGTATAGTACAGTAATTACCATACCATACCATACTAATCAAGGCATTGTTATAATGTGTTTTAATGTAATGCATTCCAACCATACGATTAATGCATCAGATTGCAAAAATATTTAGCCATTTGCTTAGTACAAATCAGTGCACATGAAACTGTTGCACACACTTGCAAATAATGAAATTACAAAAGATGAAAATGAGAGGCTCTGTAAAGAAATTTTAATGAAAATTATTATTATTATTATATTATTATAATCAAAAAGAAGCACTAAGCCTTTAATGAAAATAAGAAAAAAAATTGGAGTGAGTTAAACAAGTTAAGAAAGCCTAGGGAACAAATGGATTTGTCAGTTAAAAACAGAATAGGGGAGTTAGTAGATGGGAGATGGAGGTATTGGGTAGACAACGAGAATATTTTGAGGAACTTTTAAATGTTGACGAAGAAAGGGAGGCGGTAATTTCATGCACTGGCCAGGGATGTATACCATCTTTTAGGAGTGAAGAAGAGCAGGATGTGAGTGTGGGGGAGGTGTGCGAGGCATTACGTAGAATGAAAGGGGGTAAAGCAGCTGGAACTGATGGGATCATGACAGAAATGTTAAAAGCAGGGGGGGATATAGTGTTGGAGTGGTTGTTATTTTTGTTTAATAAATGTCCAACAGCACTTGACGTGCTGTTGGAGTGTGAGCAAAGTAACATTTATGAAGGGGTTCAGGGAAACCGGCAGGCCGGACTTGAGTCCTGGAGATGGGAAGTACAGTGCCTGCACTCTGAAGGAGGGGTGTTAATGTTGCAGTTTAAAAACTGTAGTGTAAAGCACCCTTCTGGCAAGACAGTGATGGAGTGAATGATGGTGAAAGTTTTTCTTTTTCGGGCCACCCTGCCTTGGTGGGAATCGGCCAGTGTTATAATAAAAAATAAAAATAATAATAAATGTATGAAAGAGGGGAAGGTACCTAGGGATTGACGGAGAGCATGTATAATCCCTTTATATAAAGGGAAGAGGGACAAAAGAGATTGTAAAAATTATAGAGGAATAAGTTTACTTGTGTATACCAGGAAAAGTGTACAGTGGGGTTATTATTGAAAGAATTAGAGGTAAGACAGAATGTAGGATTGCAGATGAGCAAGGAGGTTTTAGAGTGAGTAGGGGATGTTTAGATCGTGTTTGCATTGAAGCATATATGTGAGCAGTACAGGTCTCCCTCAACATTCACGTTTTCAACTTTCACGTGCTTCACACATTCGCGAATTCCCAACTGCCAAATTCCCAGCCGCCAAATCATATTTAAGTTTCCCGCCACCTGCGAGTCCCTACTACCCTCCCTCCGACCCCGGCAACTGGCAGCCAGCCCTCCCACCACTCAGTGTGGTGAGTGTTTTGTTTGTTCATTATTTGCTATTAAACTACAGTAATAAATAATGTAAACCCATTCATGACTGCATATTGGAATGGCTATTAGGAAAGGTATTAGACAGTGACATCATGTGTTTACTCTTGAACACTGCAAAGAATTAAACATTTCTGCTACAGCTAATAATAACAATAGTAATAATAATAATAATAATAATAATAAATATGATATAATTGAAGAAGGAAATTGTACAAAAATACGAGGGAGTGGTTGACACATCGTCAGTGTGACTTTGTTTATGCTGGAGTGAACATTAGTCTCCCTGCTCTTCCAAACATTTCACAATAATTCATTGTGTTTGGTGCTTGTAGATTGAGTGTGACTGGAGTGGTAGAGGCAGTGATTGAGGCAATGGTATTTAATAACATACATGTTATTAATATTATGTACTATTATTATTTATAACATATATGTTATTAAATACATACATGTTAATAATAATACATGTTATTAATAATAACATGTTTGGAAGAGCAGGGAGACTAATGTTCACTCCAGCATAAACAAAGTCGCACTGACGATGTGTCAACCACTCACTCATATTTTTGTACAATTTCCTTCTTCAATTATATCGTATTTATTATTATTATTATTAGCAATAGCAGAAATGTTCGATTCTTTGCTGTGTTCAAGAGTAAACACATGATGTCACCGTCTAATACCTTTCCTAATAGCCATTCCAATATGCAGTCATGAATGGGTTTACATTATTTATTCTGTAGTTTAATAGCAAATAATGAACAAACAAAACACTCACCACACTGAGTGGTGGGAGGGCTGGCTGCCAGTTGTGGGGGGGGGGTCGGAGGGAGGGTAGTAGGGACTCGCAGTGGTGGAGTCTGTGGTATTTAATAACATACATGTTATTAACATACATGTTATTAAATAACATACGTTATTAAAGCATAACATGTATATATTTAGTACAATTTACGACGTTTTCATGTATTTTATGATTATTCATGGTTCAACAAGTTAAGGAAGCAGTATTGTAATATATTTCCCTACAATATATTGGGGCACCAAACATTCACGGTTTTTCAACATTCGCGAGGCTCTTGATCCCCTAACCCTCGCGAATGTTGAGGGAGACCTGTATTTAGATAAAGCTAGGGAAGTTTTTATTGCATTTATGGATTTAGAAAAGGCATATGATAGAGTGGATAGGGGAGCAATGTGGCAGATGTTGCAGGTATATGGAATAAGTGGTAAGTTACTAAATGCTGTACAGAGTTTTTATGAGGATAGTGAGGCTCAGGTTAGGGTGTGTAGAAGAGAGGGAGACTACTTCCTGGTAAAAGTAGGTCTTAGACAGGGATGTGTAATGTCACCATGGTTGTTCAATATATTTATAGATGGGGTTGTAAAAGACGTAAATGCTAGGGTGCTCGGGAGAGGGGTGGGATTAAATTATGGGGAATCAAATACAAAATGGGAATTGACACAGTTACTTTTTGCTGATGATACTGTGCTTATGGGAGACCCTAAAGAAAAATTGCAAAGGTTAGTGGACAAGTTTGGGAGTGTGTGTAAAGGTAGAAAGTTGAAAGTGAACATAGAAAAGAGTAAGGTGATGAGGGTATCAAATGATTTATATAAAAAAAATTGGATATCAAATTGGGGAGGAGGAGTATGGAAGAAGCGAATTTTTTCAGATATTTGGGAGTTGACGTGTCAGCAAATGGATTTATGAAGGATGAGGTTAATCATAGAATTGACGAAGGAAAAAAGGCGAGTGGTGCGTTGAGGTATATGTGGAGACAAAAAATGCTATTTATGGAGGCAAAGAAGGGAATGTATGAAAGTATAGTAGTACCAACACTCTTATATGGGTGTGAAGCTTGGGTTGTAAATGCTGCAGCGAGAAGGCGGTTGGAGGCAGTGGAGATGTACTGTCTAATGGCAATGTGTAGTGTAAATATTATGCAGAAAATTCGGAGTGTGGAAATTAGGAGATGTGGAGTTAATAAAAGTACAGTGGAACCTCAAAAATCGAACTGCTCCCAACACGACCAATTATGTAAATGTATTTTTGTAAGTGCTTTTATAAGTGTATTTTTGAGGGTCTGAAATGGACTAATCTAATTTACATTATCCCTGATGGGAATAAATTCATTCGGTAAAGGCACTCGAACAGCCTTCTGGACCGAAGAAAGTTCGATATTTGAGGTTCCATTGTATTAGTCAGAGGGCTGAAGAGGGGTTGTTGAGGTGGTTTGGTCATTTAGAGAGAATGGATCAAAGTAGAACGACATGGAGAGCGTATAAATCTGTAGGGGAAGGAAGGCGGGGTAGGGGTCCTCCTCAAAAAGGTTGGAGGGAAGGGGTAAAGGAGGTTTTGTGGGCGAGGGGCTTGGACTTCCAGTAAGCGTGCGTGAGCGTGTTAGATAGGAGTGAATGGAGATGAATGGTATTTGGGACCTGACGATCTGTTGGAGTGTGAGCAGGGTAATATTTAGTGAAGGGATTCAGGGAAACCAGTTATTTTTATATAGCCGGACTTGAGTCCTGGAAATGGGAAGTACAATGCCTGCACTCTAAAGGAGGGGTTTGGGATATTGGCAGTTTGGAGGAATATGTTGTGTATCTTTATTACATATATGCTTCTAAACTGTTGTGTTGTGAGCACCTCTGCAAAAACAGTGATGAAAGTATTTTCTTTTTGGGGATTTTCTTTCTTTTTGGGTCATCCTGCCTCGGTGGGAGACGGCCAACTTGCTAAAAAAAAAAAATGAAACAATAGTAGTGCTCAAGATTTTTATTACAGTTGTAAATAAACAGTGTACTAGTAGTACTAAGATTTTTATTACAGTTGTAAATAAACAGTGTGCTATACCTACTGTAAAGAAAAAGATTATTTTTATTTTGAAAAATAGTTGAACAAGATAGTTTGCACAGTTTGTTTTTTCTTTTTATCAGCATACATATCTTTGTAGCACTGAATATAATTTTGTAATGCCTGCCTAACTCCAGTGCCTCATTCACTGTTTGGTTCTGCATTTATTATGAAATCACAAGTATCGTCTAGTTTTGCAGTTAACATTGTTAGTTCATCCAATGTGAATTCTTTCATGGGTGCAGCATTTTCTTCTTGATTTTCCTCTTTTTCTTTATATAAATGTTACTGATCCATTTCCACAAGTGTTGCATCATCAAGGTCATCAGAATGCAAGTCAGTGCATTGACACACATTTTCACAATCCAGAACTTCTAATCTGAGATGATCTTTCCCAAGCTGCACAATGTTTTCACAAACAGTTTCAATATGGGATTCAATACTGGCAAAATCATTGAAACAGTGCAGCAACATATTATTGTGTGACAGCATCTTTTTCCAAAACAAACCCGTTTCGTTTACTTTAAAATTTTGCTCGTCTTTGTAGCCATTTTCTTCAATCAATATTTTGTTTAGATCATTAGGAAATCTTGCAGCTGCCTCATTATCTGCACTGGCACTTCGACCAGTAATTTGAACATTATGGAGTCCCATATGCTTTTAAAAGTTGTAAAACCAGCCTTGACTTGCCACAAACTTTCTTCATTAATATTTTCTTTTTTAAACATTGAATAGAGACTTGTTGCTTTAGCTTGAATTGTCATCTGACTTAATGGCTACAGGCTTCAATCCATAACATTAAAAGACGTTCCATATTATCCATTTCAGAACTACAATTTTTAACAGTCACTTTTGACACGTAAGATGCTGTTGCCATTCCTTGTCTTTTTATTTTATTTTTATTCCTTATATGTGCACATACTGATGCTTTGTTCATTTTCTTGTCACATGCTATTTCAGCATACAATTCACCATCTTCATGTTTTATAATTTCTAGTTTTTCATCTAAAGTTAACCATTTACATTTACTAGAATGCTCAGCATCATTGCATTTCCTCTTTCCACTCATATCTGCATATGAAAGGGATACCAGTACTTCATATAATAAAGAAAAAATTGTGCATATGTTACTGTGTAAGACTACACAGTTTCACTGCTCAAAGTCTGGAGCAATACTAATGTTGGCATCGTGCTATTCCACTACATAGCAGCAATCCAATATCAGTGCCTAATGCGGTTAAATAGAATTTATATTATTAAATTTATAAACCATATTACATATATCAAAACCCGTATTGTTCAAAACTGTACTATTCAAGGTATTACTGTAGTTCATTCTGACTCTACATTCCCTTATATTAGTAACTTTACTACAGTAGTTCATTCCTTATATTAGTAACTACTACAATAGTTCATTCTGACTCCCCATTATCTTATATTATAAATGATTTTATTACAGTAGTTCATGCTAACTCCCCCATCACCTTACATTACATATTTCTGTATGTTTTTTATTTTTTTAATTTTAAGTTGTCTTGGTACATCATAGTTTTAGCACAACTGAAGTGCTCTGTATAAGGAATACAAAGGCATAATACCTTGATCAGGACACTACACATGCGACTTGTGAATGGTCCAAATTGGACTAAAACGTCATCATAAGTTTCACTCTCATTTATGCAGGTTATTTGTGCAGTGTTTTACATAATTTGTGGCTTTACAAATAGCTTGTACTTTTTTGTATCAACTGAATTTGTAACTTTTGTTAACTCTATATAGAAATAAAATTCATTGTCCTTTTCACTCTAGAATACTGACTCATGCTGACTCCCCATCACCATATATTACAGTTGCTTGTACTAACCCCATCACCTTATATTACAGTGGCTTCTGCTGACTCCCCATCACCTTTTATTACAGTGATCCATGCTGTCTTCTTTACCTTACATTACAGTGGCCCATACTGATTCCCTCATCTTGTATTACAGTGACTACTACAGTGGCCCATACTGATTCCCTCATCTTGTATTACAGTGACTACTACAGTGGCCCATACTGATTCCCTCATCTTGTATTACAGTGACTACTACAGTGGCCCATACTGATTCCCTCATCTTGTATTACAGTGACTACTACAGTGGCCCATACTGATTCCCTCATCTTGTATTACAGTGGCTACTACAGTGGCTCATAATGATTCACCATCTTATATTGTAGTGACTCTTCACTACAGTGCTCATCCTGACCCTTGACTAAGGTAACCCAACCAAAGTCATCATAATAATGACCACATAGCACAATGTCTTGCCCCACTGCAGGTACACCGCGTAGTTTCAGTGCACGTGTCTTGGGGATGGTGTGGGCTGGCTTTGCTATGATCATCGTAGCTTCGTACACTGCAAACCTGGCAGCCTTCCTTGTGTTGGATCGTCCTCAGACCTCCCTCACAGGCATCAATGATGCTAGGGTCAGTCTTACAGAATGTTCTTTTCATTGCAGTCTGTATTATTTTGTGGAAAAAAAAAAGACACAAAATGCAATAACTTAGGAGATATTTATATGACCAAGACCCTGAGACTTTGGTCATATTTGTAGTGGCCAAGATCCCAGGATTGAAATGTTTCCCATAAACATTTTCAAAGTTATTACTGTCTTTTTTTTTTCACTTCTTGTCGGTATCATATACCTTTGTATCCATTGAAGGTTGTGCTTTACTATACAGTCACTAACTAGATATTATCACTATTAATTTTAGCAACTGACCTAAAAAGAAGATTGGCTGACATAGATCTTTCAGTAAATGAAAAGCAATAAAACTAACTGAGTATATGAAGGCTTGCTCTGACTGTCTTTGATTTACTGCAAGTCAGTTTACTGCCTGTTTTTCATAATAGTTTCATAATCCTTCCTCAGATAAACTATACTCTTAGCTAATTATAATCCTTCCCAAAACAGTCTATACTTTCAATTAATTTTAAGTAATTCCTAATCATTTACAATATGCCTAAAATATCCATGCCGAATTATCACACTAAGCCAAAATTTACATGCTAGGACTAGTATTAAGTAGTTCGTAAGGTCTAAAATTAATTTATCTGAAGGGGTTTCCTTAGAATATGAAAGATGATATGTTCCTATAACTAACCAGTCTGTAACCAAATAAAGCTGTGAACCCATCAGTTGTAGCTCCCATGTATTCTAAATAAATATCTTTTTATTCAACAAACCGGCCATATCCCACCGAGGCAGCATGATCTGAAGAGAAAAATGAAAGGTTTTCTTTTTAAATTTAGTAATTTATACAGGAGAAGGGGTTAAAGAAATAAATATCTTTATCTAAGAGTCATGTAACTCTACACAGGGAAAGTGAAGATGTTGGCTCTCATTGGTGTGAAAAAGATGAGAGATAGAGGCTTGAACATTCACCAGGCACATGAGTGTGTGTTAGGCGAGACTGGGATTTTATGTACTGTTGGAGTGAGCATGGTAATAATATATTTGAAGGGATTCTATGAAACACACTAGCTGGACTTAAATTTTGGAGGTAAAAAGTACAGTGCTTGCATATTTTGGATGAGGAAGTAGTGGTTTAGTCCTTGGAGGTTTGTGCTCCTTAATAAAAGGCAGCTTTAGATCAGGCTATATTTAACGTATTTTCCTCTTTGAGTTGTCCTAACTTGATGAGGTACAACCAGTGTGTTAAAAGTTAACTTGTTTCTAGGAGAGTAAATCCTCAATTTAACCCTTTGACTGTCGTGGCCGTATATATACGTCTTAAAAGGTACCGTGTTTGACGTATATATACTCATAAATTCTAGCGGCTTCAAATCAAGCAGGAGAAAGCTGGTAGGCTCACATGTGAGAGAATGGGTCTGTGTGGTCAGTGTGCACCATATAAAAGAAATCCTGGAGTACGCAGTGCATAATGAGAAAAAAAAAACTCTGACCGTTTTTTTTAATTAAAATTCCGATTTTGTGGTCTATTTTCGTATAGTATTTATGGTTGTATTCTCGTTTTCTTGGTCTCATTTGATAGAATGGAAAACATATTATAGAAATAGAGGTGATTTTGATTGATTTTACTATAAAAAGAACCTTGAAATGGTGCTCAAAATAGGGGAAATGTTTCATTTTTGCCAATGTTCAAAAGTAAACAAATGATGCCATTGTCCAATAAATGTCCAGCTAGCCATTCTAATATGCAGTCATGAATGGGTTGATGTTATTTATACAATTATTACAGTATTGCAGTAGTCTGCATAATAGTAAGTCTTCTATTTTTTGTTTTAATAAAAATTCAAAATAGAAAGCAAGAGTAATATCAGAGGGGCCTGGAGACATGACTGATGAGCAAAGAAAATGTTATTTTAGAGCCAGGAATGTCTGCATTGTTCATTCTGGACCTTATTTTGAAATTGTCATATTTTTTAGTTTTCGTGAAATTGGCCAAATTGCAAATTTCTGACCACATTATTAGGTAGTTGATATCGGTAAATGGGCAGTTTCTTGTACTCAATCGATAGAAAAAATGGAGTTCTAAAGAAATAGCTATGAGTTTGGGCGACTGGAACAAAATAGGGCTCAAAGTGGGCGAAATCGCTGATTTGTAAACGGCGCCGAGGTCGCTAACTTCGCGAGAGCATAATTCCGTCAGTTTTCCATCAAATTTCGTTTTTTTTGGTGTCATTACAATCGGGAAAAGATTCTCTATCATTTCACAAGAAAAAATAATTTTTTTTTTTTTTAAATTTTGCGACACCAGGAGACACCTCAGGATTGGGGGTTGCGGCAGTCAAAGGGTTAATGGACTAATAGGAGGAGCAGGTGGCTGGTAATTGAGTGTGTGGTGGATGGAGATGAGATTGCTTGGTAACAGTAACAGACAGTTCTGTAACTAGCTGACTTTGTTCACTGTTTATGAATCAGTTGATTCAGTGGATTATGTCCCGTATTTCTAAACTTCATTAACCCATATACGGTCCAAACGTACATACATGTTCACTACCCCCCCCCCCCCTCACCAATGCCCCGAATATTTTTTTTTTTTTTTTTTTTTTTTTTTTAATGAAAATAAAGAGCGTTATAGTTTAAAAAAAAATTAGAGTCAGTACTTACAGAGATATGAGGCCGAGAATTTGGCACTGGATGCTCATGTGACAGCAACATTGAGTCCTGCCGTTTGTAGAAGTGTTGCCGATATACCTTTTTTCTATTTTTCATATTATTTTACATAATTTTTATGTTCTGATAATTACAATTTATAGTAGTTCTTGTCATTTCATAACCTATCTTTGTTAACACTAGTATTACGTACTGAAATTGTACTCAAATTGTCACGAACACTGACAGGTGGACATTTACTATTGTCTTGGAATACATACAGAGTATTTATAGGTCCCAGCCTCTTCAAGGGGGGCTCCTTGGCGTGATGAAGAGGCTCTTGGTCTGAGGAATTAGACCTGTCGGTCTACTTCCTCAGACCGAACCTAATTACCCCCCAATCCCCTGTTCCCTATCCCATCCTCCCCATCCTCCCCTTTTTCCTTTCCTCCTCCTCCTCCCCACCCCTCCCTTTTGCCCTTCCTTTTTGGCCTTTTTTTTTTTTCACAGGCACGCTAGTTCCTAGGTAGGGGAAAGGGTACCGGGGTCCATCCCATTTCGTTGAGGTTCTTGGCGTTGGCGTAGTTTGCCGTGGAATCTGGATTGCCTGGGGATGTCCTGATCCCTCTCCGGTATCCCGGAGGGTGGCTTTGGGTGTCTCTCGGGCAAAGGGTGTATCTCTGGAAGCCACCTTTCGGATTCCGGGGGTGGTGGCCGAAGGAGGTATGCTTTGTGGCGGATTTCCGGCCACCCTCTCTTTTGTCCACCGAGGTAGCTCGGCAGATGTGAGGTTGCTATCCCGGATTGCTGGTTTACTGGCATGATGGGTAGGGTATGGCACGGGTTCCATGCTGCATCTGCGCTACTTGCGGTGCTGAGGTCCTCTCGGGCGCGGAGGGAGATTTCTGGCCCTTTCATTCCTCCTAGGAACTATCCCTCCCCGGTCCCCCCTTTTTTTATTCTTTTTTTATTTTTATTTTCTTTTCTTCTTTCTTTTTTTTTCTTAAAAACAAAAAGAAAGAAGTAACCTAACCATGGCAGCCCTAGTCCATGAACCTGCTACCCCCGGGCCCCTTCTTGATACCGCACCCCGTTCTGACCCCGCCCCGTCTTTGGACCACTCTTCGGACACTCCTCATGCCTCTGTACCTCTTGCCGGTGCTGTTTCCTCACCTGCTTCAGGTACTGAGGCCTCGACTGACTCCTTCGATTTATCTGACCTTCGCTCTCCTCTGACTATGCTTCCGGCCTCTCCCTCTACGGTGCGGCAATTTTCGAATCGCCGGCCCGTTCCACGTCGGACCAACTCTGGTCCCATGCCTAAACGACAACGACAATTACCTGCTGATGATACTTCTCCACCTTCTCGTTCTTCTCAGAAAAGATCGACACGTCCTTCACTACCTCTCCACGCTCAGTTTCAGACTGCACAATGGACTAAATTCTTCACTTTACGACCGACTTCCTCTACTGCCTATCTTTCTGACCACAGTATTGGCAAGGCACTCCTACGCCATGTGGTAAAGATATTTCTTTTCATGCTCTTAAGAGCGGTATGCGCATCGTCACCGTACAGAATGCTACCCTGGCTCATGAGCTTTCTCATCTTTCCCATATCGATACTGTTCCTGTAACTATTGAAAAGCATCATTCCCTCAATTCTTGTAGTGGTACCATCATTCTGCCCCATACCATAGTTCAACAAAATTTCCAGACATGTGGCACTGACATTCTTGAACAGCTGGAACTCCAAGATCTCCCAATCCTCAAGGTAGACATTTACGTTCTTCCTGCCCGCGGGCGGAGACGATACCCTAGCAATGTTGCTCGTTTAACTTTTGACAGCTGTGAACTCCCATCCTCAGTTTATGTAGCAGGACATCGGTTACAAGTTCGAAAGGTGATCCCTACACCGCAACAGTGTAGAAATTGCTGGCGATTTGGCCATCCAGCGAAATATTGCAGATCTGTCGCCGAATGCTCAGTCTGTGGTGCCGATGACCATTCTAATACGTCTTGCAATCGACCTCCCTCTTGTTTTAATTGTCATGAGGCTCACCCTTCGTACTCTCGCCGTTGTCAAGTCTACTTAAACGAGCGGGAAATCCGTTACCTCAAAGAGGCAGAAGGTCTCCCTTATGCCATGGCAGTTTCTCATCTCCGCCTCCAAGGGAGACTACCTCGTGTTTCTTATTCCCGTGTTTCAAAAACGTCCCCCCCACTTCTGGTATCCCATCTTCTGCACCCACCTCTGTGGTTACCTCTCCCATAGCCACTCCTGTAGCTAATTCTTTTGCTGTCCTCGGCTCAGACGTCCCTACTTCAACGTCTCAGTCTGATCTTGCTTCTTCGTGTTCTCTCTCACAA